TAATTCAGCTTTAATCCAAGCTTTCCTATTGATTCCAGCTGGATTCCTACCGGAGGATAAACGGGAAGGGTCTGGTCTAAAAGGCTGCTGACCTTTGGTGGGTGATCAATACCTGAAATTCTCATCAATACCAATAATTAATTAATTAATCAATTAATCAATTAAGCCACCACCTGTCCCCTTTGATAGGATTTGCTGTGCAAACATCTCCGGCTCTGAGACAATAAAGGGAAATTATTCTGGGATTTGTTCATTTTGCTTTATTATCCCAGAATCAGCTCCTTGCACCACCCAAGAGGGATTTGGCTCCATCCCTAAGATTATTTCTAAATTTATGGCCCTTTTTTTCCCACTTCTGACCCAAATTCCATGGGCAGGGATCCTCAACAGCAAAACCCCACAGAAACGGTTTTAATCACCCACATCCCTCTTTTCCTCCACACCTGAACCTCTGCTGGGAAAACCATATTAATTCCCAAAAAATAACCCAAACTCTCTGGCTGGAGACTGTTTTACCCCAAAAAAACGGCTTTTACACTACTTTTATTCCCATTTCTCCCAGGTTTTACCACCAAAACATGATTTTACCACCAAAATATAGTTTTACTCTCCTTTTATTCCCATTTCTCCCAGTTTTTACCACCAAAAGAATATTTTACACTCATTTTATTCCCATTTCTCCCAGTTTTTCCACCAAAACACGATTTTACACTCATTTTACTCCCATTTCTCCCAGTTTTTACCACCAAAACATGGTTTTACCCTCCTTTTATTCCCATTTCTCCCAGGTTTTACCGCCAAAATATTATTTTACCCTCCTTTTATTCCCATTTCTCCCAGGTTTTATCACCAAAACATGGTTTTACCACCAAAACATGATTTTACACTCATTTTATTCCCATTTCTCCAAGTTCTTACCACCAAAACATGATTTTACACTCCTTTTATTCCCATTTCTCCCAATTTTTACCACCAAAACATGATTTTACACTCATTTTATTCCCATTTCTTATCACCAAAACATGGTTTTACCCTCCTTTTACTCCCATTTCTCTCAGTTTTTACCACCAAAACATGATTTTACACTCTTTTTACTCCCATTTCTCGTGGTGAAACATTTACCACAGTGGCCAAGGGGCCGTGCTGCCTCCACCTCTGTATTTTTATATCCATATTTATATTTCTGTGTTTATATTTGTGTTGCCTCCACCTCTCTATTTAGACAGAAAACAAAACTGTCCCAGCTGAACAAGCTGCTGATGTTTGAGATAATAAAACCAGGCCTGATGACATCACCCTCACTTTTTCCTGCTTTTCCCCCTCTATTTTTTTCCCCCTTTTCTCAGAGAACTCATTAAAACACCGAAAAAAAAGAATGGGAGGAATGGTGACAGCTTGGAAAATTCCCTTCCCAAAGATTTAGGGCTGAGCTCAGGGATTTCTCCCGGCCCAGGGATGTGGGGGATTGTTCTGCCAGCCATAAAGGTGGGGAAAGCGGAGCCCCCCGGGATCAGGGATAATTGGGAATGGGGTAATTGCTCCCTCCACTCTTCCCAAAGGCAGCTTTTGGATTCTTGCCCAGAAAAAAATGGATATTAATGGGGTCGGGTGCAATTTTTTCTGATATTATCAGGATAATAGGCTGAGTTTGGAAAGGCTTTTTTTTCCCTGTTTGTCCTGAGGGAAAGAAGTGCAGCTGCAGGTCAGGGAGCTGGAAAAGCCAGGAGTGGGATTTGCTGTGGTTTTGAGGATACCAAAACCAGGGATATTTTCCTTGTGTCCCCCTTTTTAAAGCGGAGCCCAAAAAACTCTTGGAAAGGAGGCATCAGAAATCACGGAATCACGATTTGGGTTGGAAAAGCTCCTTTCCCACAGCCTTTCCCCACCAGTTCTGCAGCTCTCATCATGCTGGGCACACCAGAGGATGGATTCAAGGCTGGAATTCCATCAAAACTCGGGAATTTTCCCTCCTGGAATCACTCTCCGGGCTGCAGCTCAGCCCCGTTCGTGTCTCCGGTCTCATCCTGAGGTTTCAGCTGGATAAAGGAGTTTTTTAAGGGGGGAAAATGCTGCTTTTGGAATTCTCTGCTGGATAACAGGGAGGGGCAGCATCACCCAGAGATGGAGTTAATCACAGGGCTCTGTGATTAGTAATTAACATTAATCATCCTTCATTGTACCCAAGCAGATCCCCTCTAAATTGTGACAAACACCCCGGAAAGAAACGGGGGAAAAAAAAAGAAAAAAGCAAAACTTTTCCTTCTTTGCTTCCCCAGACGTGAATAATTTGTTTTAAATTTATTTTTATTTAGCCATTTTTGGGGCTAACCTTAAGGTTTATTACCATTTTCTCTATTTTCAGAACCCAGGCCCCGATGTTTTCTCCCCAGTGTTCCAACAGAGCTCAGCCCTGGGCACCGAGGGGGCTCCAATCCCCAGCAATTCCTGCTCTTTCCATGATGGGAACGATATAAATTATAAAAGAGACGTTTTAATTGCCATTAATCTTGAGCCCAGCCCGTGTTTGACCCGCAGGAGGGATTTGGGGAGGGATTTGGGATGGGGAGGATGTCAGGCTGTGCTGCAGAGGGATGATTGATGCCAGGAGCAGTTTGAGGAATGCTTTTCCAAAGGGCAGGAATCCCTGCCTGCTCCACAGGGTTGTCCTTGCTCCGGGAAAGGGAAATTTGGAGCATCATTAGGGCTTCAAATCCTGCTGGGATAACCTGGAGCCTCAGGATTTAACTGGGCAGAGCCTTGGGAAGAGTGGATGAGGATTTTTTTTCCCCTGACTTGCTGGCTCCTCAAATATTCCCCCATCTCCACAAGTTGTTTTATCCTCAGGAAAGGATCTCCAGAGGGGATTTTCCTTAAATTCTTTCCCATTTCCCATTACTTTGCAAAGCAAAGTGTGCACTTTGTTGAGCAGAGGGAACAATATTTGGTTATCTGAAAAACGGGCAAATTTTAGGGGAAAACAGCGAGAAATTCCAAGATTTTTGTTTGCCTTGAGAGCCCTGGCCAGGAGAATATTTGAGGGAGTCATAAAAACACGGATCAAGCGAGGAGTCTGTGGTTGAAAGGTGCAGAAAAACCCCGTGCTGTGCTCCACCCTTCCCCACTCCTCCTTCCCCAAAAGGGTTTTCCTGGTATTAAGGGATCCCAGTGGATTCTGGGATGAATCTCCACAGGCAGACGCCGTGTTTGACACCTCCCTCTCACGAGTCTGGCAGCGGGAAGAGGCCACAGAATGCAGAATTCCCAATATTTTGACTCGGCTCCTCACCAGGCTCTCCCAAATCTGCTCGGCAGAATGGATGGGAGGGGGGGAATTTTCTCACTTGGGAAGCTTGAACGTGATGTTGGAAAACTCCGTTCTCATCGAGGGCTGGGATTGGGATGGCATCCCAAGGATGTTTCTTCTTGGGATGAGCACAAAGACAAGGCCTTGGAAGGAGGATTTTCCCCTGGCATGGGGAAATCCTGAAAAATCCATCCCTATGGAGAGTGGGAAAGACTTCCAGGCTCTTCCCCTGCTGAAATCTGCCCTGTGGAATGGTTTGGAATTCTTCTCCCTGGGTGGGGAACCTCCATGACTGAGCTGGGCCGGCTTCCCTGGATGTGCTGCCCACAGAGCATTCCCACTGGAGCCCGTCCCTGGGAATTCCAGGATTCTCTGGCTCATTTTGAGCTCCAATCCAGCAGTTTGAGGAGCTGTGGATGCAGCAGCCAGAACCACTCACAACTGAGGGCTCCTTTTACGTTTATATTAATTCCTGTTTTGCAAAGGGGATTTTGATTGGCTCCTCCTAATTAGCCTTGCTAATGAAGCTGAGAGGAGCAGAGGATTTCACTGGGCTTTGCATTCTCAGGCAGCCACTGGGGTTGGCGTTTCCAGCCCTGTGAGGAGACGGAGGGACGCAGGAAAATGCCCCTTCAGCCACAGAGAACTTTGATATCTGGGGCAGGGAAAACATCCAGGGGATGTCTGGGACCCACTGAGGAGGTTTTGGTGCCAAATTTAGGGAATCTTGGAATGGTTTGGTTTGGGAAGAGACCTCAAAGCTCATTCACTTCCAGGGGCAGGGACACTTTGCCATCCCAGCTTTCTCCAACCTGGCCTGGGACACTTCCAGGGATCCACAGCTGCTCTGGGAATTCCAGCCCAGACCCTTCCCCACACTCCCAGCCGGGAATTCCCAATTCCCAGTATCCCATCCAGCCCTGCCCTCTGGCACTGGGAGCCATTCCCTGGCTCCTGTCCCTCCATCCCTTGTCCCCAGTCCCTCTCCAGCTCTCCTGGAGCCCCTTCAGGCCCTGCAAGGGGCTCGGAGCTCTCCCTGGATCCTTCCCTTCTCCAGGGGAACATTCCCAGCTCTCCCTGGATCCTTCCCTTCTCCAGGGGAACATTCCCAGCTCTCCCTGGATCCTTCCCTTCTCCAGGGGAACATTCCCAGCTCTCCCAGTCTGGCTCCAGAGCATCAGAACATCTCCATGTCCTCCTCTCAATCCAGCAGCTCCACATCCTTATTTTTGGGTTTCCAGAGCTGGGGGCAGCTCTGCAGGTGGGATCTTAGGAGAAGGTGAGAATTCCTTTTTTCCTCTGATCTGCTGCTGTGGTAAAAACATGGAAAAACCAAAATGATTTATCACCAGCACATTCCTGATTTTTTTTCCCAGTCTCAAAACCCATCAGGTTCTTGAGATCCACAGCACCCAAAACTCATCTCTGGGGATGCAGCTCCAGGAGAAGGAGGGAATTGTCTCAGGAGACTCAGAGGTAATTATTATTCCCATTTCTCGGTGTTGATCTGATCTGCTCCCAGCTGCCCGTGGGAACAGAGAAATCCTGGCCCCCTTCCCGCCCTCCTGTCCCTCAGTTATCTCAGAGGGATCAGGGTGGGTGGCAGCACCTCAGGTTTTTCTGGTCCGACTTGAAGGATCCCAGGTCTATCAGGGCTCTTCTCCTGCAGGCACCACATCAAACCCTCTGCTCCTCCACCTGAGGATGGAGTCACCCAGGCCTGAGCAGAGGTGGCTCCTTGGTTGCCCAGCTGGCCACCAGAACAGTGCTGTGGCCTTTGGAACCTGCAGATCTCAGAGGGTTCCTCTGGTTCCCACTGTGAGAAATTCACCTCTGCCTCCTTATCTGGCCCTTAAATATCTTCAGAGATTTTCTCAGGCGTTGCTTTGCCCAGGTTTTGGAGGATTAAACGCACCAAGTTCCTGGAGTCTGGGACAGCTCCTTTTTGTGGATCAGAGCTGTACCCAGCCTCTCAGCTCAGTGAGATCCTTGTGCATCTCCTGGGATCTCTCCCCTCCCATCATTTTGGGCTGATTCACTCTTCCCACACAGCTCAGATCTTCACTGGGAGGTCCTCAGAGCTTTATTTCAATCCTTAAGATTCCAAATTGTCCACGTTTCCCCTTCAGTTGGGGCCATCAGCAGGTTTGAACAGGGAATTTCACCAGAAAACCCCTCCACACACTTTCTTCTCTTTTTTATGGTTGTTAATGAAAATATCAAATATTGCTTTCCATGTGGGTTTGGAAGGAATTGGCTCCTCGGGTTGTCACCCATCCCTGCTCAATTCCTTACCTGCATTTTCCATCCCCTCCCTGTCCCTGTGCCCTCCTTTTCCTGCTGTCCAATCTCCTGCATTCCCTTTGCCTGAGAATCCCATTTTTCTTCCAAAGCCAGGCCCAATTATCCTTTGTTTCACCTTTGCTCCACTTTTCCATCATTTCCCATTTACCAACTCCTTCCCTCATCATTTTCCTAAATAAAATTGGATTAATCAACCTTTAATTACCCAATCACCATTTGTAAGTGCCAGGATTAATTTTAACGCTATTCCCCACTAAAATGCGGAGCAGGGATCAAATTTCCCATAATTCCTCTCTCCCAAATCACCAGGATAAACCACCAAGAGTGGTTTATCACTTTGGCCCTTCCACATAATACATTTGTGCTTTCTCAGAGCTTTATTGCCATTAAGAGGTCATCAATTAGTTGGGAATAACTCCGGGAGCTTCATTAATTCCCTTCCTGGGTGTGGGTGGAAAAGGCGACCTGGATAAGGCCATGGTTTTCCTGGATGTACTCATCCATCCTTGGAGATTGGATGTCTTTTCTCCTCCTCACAGCTCCCCTTTCCTTGGGGGAATATTCTCCATAAATCCGGTTCTGAATCCAGGGTGGTGCAAGGAAGGAGCCCTGGATTTCTGATGGATCAGAATTCCATCCCCAGATTCCTGTGGCGTTGAGAGGTGTCCAGGGAGGTGACACTGGTTCAGATGTCCTGAAAACCCTCAGGAATGGGGGGATTTGCCTCTGGAATGGGAGAAAAATGGAAGGAAAAATGAGATGTAAACCTTGTCCTGATCCTGGTGGGATGTAAACATTGCCCTGATCCTGGTGGGATGTAAACATTGTCCTGATGTCCACAGCTCCTGTCCTGAATCCAGGGTGGTGCTGCTGGCTGGGACACAGGGAAGGAGCTCTGGATTTGGGACACAGGGAAGGAGCTCTGGATTTCTGCTGGATTATGAGCAGCACCGGGTTCCTGCGGCCCTGGGAGCTGACACCAGCCAGATGTCCCAGGCCACATGCCTGGCACTGAAACCTTGCCTTGGGGGCTGTTGTCCTCCTTTCCAGAGCTCTTCCCATGTGGAATTCCCAGCTCTGGGAGATGACTACTGGCTGGGAGGCAGAAAGCCCAGGAATTTCACAGCAGGCCGTTCCCGAGGGATTAACAAGCGGAGTTTGCATTCCTGCCTGGCTTGGACAAGTCCTGAATCCTCCCTGTGTGTCCCCAACCCAAACCCAAACGCTGGATTTCCTGCTCCAATTCCCACCTTCATCCTTAGGGAAAAGGGAATAATTCCCTCACCTTCCCAGGAGCAGATTGACCCCTGGCCGTGTCCTGCTCCACAGATCCCGCTGCTCAAGGATGACATTTTGGGAAGGGAGCTGGATAAAGTAGGTCAGGTGTGTATTTTAGGACACTGTTCCTGCAGAACGGAGTTATTTTAAAAAGTGGAATTCCGGGTCAGGGGAGTGGAGATGTACAGGAGATGGAAAGGAGCTGGATTTTTCATCCCTATCCCAAAAAAGCCTCGGTGAAGTGAGCAGTGCTGGCATTTCCACCTTCATCGGTGCCACCCCACCGTGGGCTCCTTTCCTGGACTCCACATCTCGTTTGTGGGGGAAGGAATTTGGGATAAATCCCCAAACAGGATAGCAGAGGGAGCAGGATTCAAACACCAGCCCTGCAGTGGCAGCTCTGGGAGACCTCAGGTCCCATCCCAGGAGAGATCTGGGGCTCATGGAGCTGCAAAAACAGGGAATTTGCTGCTGCTGCCATTGGAGGGGAGATCCAGGATGGAGCCAGCTGGAATTTGGAGCAATCCCAAACTCACCTTTAGTCACACTGGCTGCTCTGGGAGGACGATGCTGTGGAGGCAGGATTGGGAATGCAGAGCTCCAGAATGTCCATCCAGGTGTCCCTGGCACCAGAAACCCTTCAGAGGCTGCCAGGAACCACAGGCTGTGTCCCATTCCCAGATTCCCGAGGAAACACGGGATAAATGACCCAAGGTGACTGCATCCACAGTGGGTGGCCGGCCTCAGGGAGGCTCAGCAGCCACGGAAATGACTCAAATTAAATCAAATCAAACCAAATTCCGCATTCCCTCAGCTGCAGGGGAGCAGGGTGATGCCTCTCTGCTCCCTTCAGGAGCATCCTCTTCCCAGCAGGAATTTGCTGGGACAGCAAAGGAAGCAGGTTTGCTGGGCAGCGTGCCCAGAGCGAGGGCAGCTCAGTGGCACTCGTGGCAGCTCTGCTCCAGCCTGGAAAACATTTGGAAGTGGTTTGGAGCACATTGTTGGAATGTTTTTGCACATCTGTCACTGGCAGAGAGGCCACAGAGGGAATGGGAGGCTCCAAGAGCAGGTTTTCCATGTTTGCATCCCTGTTTGCTGCAGCCTGAACGAGCCCTGAGTGGGATTCCCTCACCAAAACTCCCTCCCCATCCCAAAGGAGCCCCCACCAGGAGCTCCCAACCCTCTGTGCCCCACCTTTCCTGGCAATCCTTGGAGTATTTCTCATCCCACAGCAGATGCATGGAGAGAAATGTACATTTTGTGCAGCACTTAGCTCATCTTTAACTGGGTTTCCAATGTGAAAAAGCTCCATCAGCACTTCCTCCCTTACATTTCATGAACACATCCTGCCTCCAGCCACCAATTCCCATTTTCTGCCCATGTTTTCCTTTTCTCCTCGTGTGGGGCTAAGGGACCTGGCAACTCCTGTCCCTGAGAGAAGTCCTGAATGTCCTGTAATTATGTTTTAATGGCTATGAAAAAACATTTAAACTAAAAAAAAAAAAGGCTTTTAATACATTAATAAAAAGGCAAAACCATCAATTCTTGATCCAGTGGTGATGCTGCAGTACAGGGACCCCATCCCTGTCCCCATTCCCTGCACATCCCTTTCCTGGGGGGAACCCCACAGCTTGGGGCCGATGAAATGCTTGCTAAATACCCCAAAACCATAAAATAAACTCCCCGTGGAGCACAAAATATTTCTGTTTTATGAGTTCATCCTAAAGCCGAGGTGGTGAAGACACCAAAGGTGTGAATAACCCGGCGGTGGCTGCAGGGAAGGGGAAGGGCAGAGGCTTGGGAAGGCATTTTCCTTCTCCACCTCTTGCTATTTAAAGAGGGGACTCGGGGCAGAGCACTCCGGAAATTCAGTTTAAAATGAATTTCAGCTCAAAGATGGGCTGAAATCAGCTGGTGGCCCATGGAGCAGCACAGGGCAGACTCCCACAGCCCAGCAAGGTAGAAAATCAATCAGTCAAATCATTTTCTACCCCCCAAAAATGTGATAGTGAGGAAGCAGCGCATCCCTGCTGCCTGGGGCAGGGGCGGTGAGCAGTGCTGAGACAGAGGAGTGCTGGAAATGTGGATTTGGGAATTCAGGAGCTAAATCACCCCAATTTTGTCCCCCCAATAGGCAGGAGAAGGGATTTTGACCTTTCCCAACGTGGGTAGGGCTGAGCACAGGCTCCTCTGCTCGGTGATAAGAGGAAGGTGATAACAGGGGAACGCCCCGGCTGCTCCAGGTTGGAAGAACACACAGAAATATGGATGTGCAGCATTCCTGCCGGCTGCTTTATCCTGGAAAAAACCTTCTCCTGGGAGCTCCGAGGGGACACAGGGTGACAGCAGGGACAGTCACCCAAGTGTCCCCAGCCAATCCCTCCCACCCCCTCCGCTCCCTCCAGCCGGGCTGGGCTCCGCTTTCAGGGATTTTCACGCCAGACTGGAATATTTTATCGCTTGGATAATTCCGTTTACAAACCCATTGCATGGGCTGGTAACATTCATCTCACCCAAACCGATTTGAGTCCCCAGGTGGGGATAAAACCAAAAATTCTTCTGGGACGTGGCTGTGCAGACAAACACGAGGCTAAAAATCTCCCTGTGCAAACCTTTGTGCTCCTCACACACACACAGCTCCAGCTCCTCGGGGTGCCCAACCACATTTCTGAAATATCAGCACGCAGGGAGTGGTTCCTGACCGGGAAAAACTGAATAAATATTGGTTTAGCACGGCTGAATTTGAATAGAAAGGTGAGGGCGAGCGAAAAGAGCAGCTTTTGGAGGCTGTGGGTGGGAGGTGGATGCGCTGGGTTCTCCTCGTTCGTGGATTTTGGATGATTTTCCTTCGTGCCTTGGGCATGGGCAGCCCCCAGGAGCTCCAGGATTTCCTCCTCCCACCTTGTTCCTCGTGGATTTACACCAGAGCATGAATGGGACTGACTCTGACAGATAAAATAAGGGGTTTTTTTTCACTTTATTCCCTGAATAAATAAGATTCTGGCTGGTTTTTTTTCCCTTTTTCCCTCTTTTTAGTGCCCAGAAGCGCTCCCGGGGAAAGCTGAGATGTGTGGAGCCTCTGGCTGGCTTGGGGAGGGCTGAAAAAATCCAACATTTTGTGTTTCCAGAGCCTTCCCCAGCCCTTCAGAGCAGCGATTTCCACACAGCCAACAACCCCACGTGGTGGATATTCCGCTAAAAAAAGTTATTTTGGGACAAACTGCGGCCGTGTGGTTTATCCAGAGCGCTTTTTCTGAGCGCAGAGCAGAGGAAAAGCGATGTTTGTACACGCAGGGAGCTCCAGGTTGATCATTTTTTGCTGGAATCTTGTGTTTTTTCCATGCAAACCTCCTGTCCCCGCGTTGCTCCTGGAGCATTACGAAACCTGGCCAGGAGCCTGCAGATTTCCGCTCGGTATTAATGAGCTGTTCCAAGAAAAAGCGACTTTTCCTGACAAACTCTGGGAAAATTTCACAGCGAGGGCATCGGGAACAGCCGGGGCTGTGCTGCCCCATCCCGGGATATCTCCAGGAATGGGACACGGCCACCCCCCAATCCCTCGGGGCTGCCATCCAGGAATTTTTCCCAATTTTAAAAGAAAAAAAAAAAAAAGAAAATATTCCGGATGTCTCAAAAGTCCTGAAGCCTGAGGAGTGCCGGGCTGGGAGGGTGGGAATG